TATGACCTGGGCAAGAAGAAAATGCTTCGAAAGTGCGAGAACCGCAACTTTACGTCGCATTTGGTCAAGCTCACGACGGCTGGCTCAAGAATCTATGCGTCAGACAATAATCAGTCGTTCCACTTTATCCGATATCGAGCAGACGACAATCAACTGGTCATCTTTGCCGATGATTTCGTTCCTCGCTTTATCTCGGCCTCTACTCTGGTAGGATTCCCCTCTCAAAATGAAAAATAGGGCTCACTCATTTTCTAGTTGGATTATGACACGATGGCGGGGGGTGACAAGTTTGGCAACGTGTTTGTGACGCGTTTGCCGTCAGAAGTGTCGGACGAAGTGGACAACCCGTCAGGCAATCGCATGTTATGGGATTCGCATCTCCTCAACGGTGCCCCCAACAAAGTGGAACAGGTATGCTTGGCAGCAATGCTTGTTTTTCTAATCGTGATATCATTTCGGCAGATTTGTCAGTTTTACGTGGGGGAAACGATCACGTCCATGCTACGAACACGTCTAGTTCCTGTCGGTAAAGAAGCCATCATCTACACGACTGTCATGGGTCGCATTGGGGCGTTGATTCCATTTTCGTCGCGTGTGGACGTGGATTTTGCCACCCATTTGGAAATGTATATGCGCCAAGAAGCCCCTCCCCTCTGCGGGCGCGACCACTTGAGCTTCCGCTCGTATTTTATTCCAGTGAAAGACGTCGCCGACGGTGATTTATGTGATCAATTTGGCATGCTGTCGGCGGAAAAACAAATCAAGATCGCGCAAGATCTCGATCAAACGCCGATGGAAGTGCTGAAGAAACTAGAAGATATTCGCAACGGATTGTTGTAAATACTAACACTCAAGCTATTGCCTCTTGATATCTATCTATCCATGAGCATCTGCTGTTTACAAAACCATACGTCGCGCCAACAGCCGACGTCGTCTCTATGAATTTTTAAAAAATTCTGTTCACATTGCACAACCCCGACACAAACACACGCACTCCTCTCCGCAAACTACGCGTACGAGAGAAAGCCGGGAGCACATCATTTCAGTTCTGCTTTTACATGCTCGCTTGTCCACCACTCTTTCAAGCGATAGTGTGTAGATCCAAAGCATTTCTCGCAGCACCCGTCATTACATCCAGTGCATCTACGAGGTACATCTCTGCAGTATGTAAATGTTGACCTGGTGGTCTGGTAGGTAGTTGGATCCAACGTCACCGTGCATTTTTATAATTTATATGTCAATTTTATCTTGCTTTTACTATGTAATCAACAAGTGATGATATATTCATATAGTACAAAGTGCACTGTGCCGTTGTAAAAAGTATATTTTGCACCTTAGACGCACTTTGCCGTTTCCAAAATCTAAACTTTGTGTGGAATTTTTCACTTGGTTTCACTATACTGCGTGTTGAAACTCGTCAGTGTGAAATCGGAAAGTGGCAAATGCTCGCAAATGTGTCATAGAATGCACTTTGAAGTGAGGAGAGTCAAGTCTTTCTCTCGAGCATTTCTTCGCTTCTAGAGCGACGACAGCGCTCCAAGTTAGCTAGAAATCAAGACAAACTATCAGACTTGAGATTAAAGAGGTCTAGATGATGATAGAATAAAGGAGATAGTGTTCCAATTCGAGATGAAGTTGCACTCTCTGTGAGGAGAAGGAGAGTCCAGCTGTTTGGCTACCTGGGGACCTTCAACGAGTGGGGAACTTGCGTCTGCCTTGGCATTGACGTCACTTCCACATCCTCCACGATTATGGGCATTTACTACACGAAGAAGTGCTCGACGCTGCTAGAAAAGGTCGGCTTTACGCGCAAATACATGGCGATTGAAGTGTGTCCGCAAGATCAATCGCTCGTCTTTCTCAATACAAACGAACGCGTGCCCGTCGATGCGATTACGAAGATCAAGTGGGAAGCGAATCTCAAGCTCAAAATGGTTCTCACGACTGCCGCCTCGACAACCGATAAAGTATGTTGTGTCAGATTTGAACAGTCGCTCGACCTGCAAGCGTTCCTGAGAGATCTCAACTTGGACATCCCAGTCGAAGTCGACAATGGCGGCGCCATCCTCAGCGGCACGTATGCGCCACGACCATATCGCGCGTCGGAACGAGCATCTGAAGTCTTGGCGTCTATCCTGGACAACATGCGATCCAACCCGAGACGAAGGAATTCGAAATCCGCCTCGTTTGACAGAGGATCGACAGGCCGACGATCACTTGAGTTCCTCCGTGGAGCAGCTAGCAGAACTTATTAATTCAACGTATTTACTAGTGCTTTATCCACTGTGTCTTGGTCATTTCGGCCCGTGGAAGCGCTGCATGCGATGCACGCACGCCTTGAGTGGTCGAAATCTCCTGAGAAAAGATCGCTGGCTCTATGGAAAGACGTACAACTGGCCGGGAGTGGAAACTTCCAGCGTGGGATGAATTCTCCACGACAAGCACTACGAGCAGCCCAAGGGGAGGCCATGCTCTCTCTATGTCGAAGGAACTCCATGAAATTCACGCGCGATTCGAAGCGCTACGGAGCTCCTTAGCTCACGAACCGGCGAGGCATCAAGCAATCTCTCACAAACCGACAATTTCCACCAAACGTCACGGCGTTGTAGCTCCCATTGTGCCGCCGCCACCGGTCCAACCGCTTCATTTGAGCTCGTCAAGGCGACAGCAACATGTTATCGACACCGCCAAGGTGTCACTCGACCTCCAGCGAATTGCCAGCACGTGGCAGGATAGAATGGATGCAAAAATGGATTCCCTCGACAAGATGATTGCGAGCTTGCAAGAACACTTGGACAAAGACACAACGCGTCGCTTTATCACATGGCTAGCCGATCAACTTCACAGCGTGGTGCTGCCGAAGCTTGAAATCAACCAAGCAAGCATTGCGTCCTTGGCAGATATCTCCAGCCTTGGCATAGAGCCTCATAAGCTTGCAATCGGTGCTGACGCCGCAGCCGTAGAAGCGAGCGTTGCAACGTAAGCCCACTGGGAAGAGCGTCGCTAACAACTGAGATCTCCTTAGGCTGGTCGGGGGATTGTTCGAGCTCCAAGGGCAAGCGAACTCACGCCTCCTCCACGCGAAGGCTAGCTGGGCCAAGAAGATTCACAAAGCCACCGAGGATGCCAAGACTGCTCAAGCCAAGGTTTGTCCTTTCCCTTGGAATAACTGCGGGGGGAACGTCACCTTGAGCTAACGATGACTTAGTGCGATCAATTGACGGCAGCGCTCCAGCAACATCAAGCCGAGGTAGTTCCCTGAGGATGTTGAAGAGCTCATCGCGTTTTAGCAAAATGCATTGCATGGGCAATTGCAAGAAGAACTTCGACGGGCTGCTCAGCTAGCGAACGATCTCGCCAACTCGCAAAGTAACAACTCGACTGGCAGGACTCGTCTTTGACGTTGTCGACGTTGTAGCGACGGTGAAATTGCTCGAACTGACAGTCGCCAAGCTTGAGGAGCAAATACGAGACCAGGCGGAGCATCTACGACTTCAAGAGCAAGCTTGGAAGGAAGAAGTGGAGCAATGGAAGGCGAGTAACAACATGCTACTGCAGCCAAAGCAGGTATACAGTCGCTAGCTCTACAGTATCGTACCTCCGCGTGGGCTTAGCTTTCCCCTGAAGATTTTGGCTGGCCGCAAGATAAAAGCGAGCGGTTTGACGTGGAACCAACACCGCGCAAGCTGATATTGCCGACGCCTTGCTCGCCTCCGCTTGTCAAAGACGACAAGAGCATCAAGCCACTCACGCACCGACAACTGTTGAAACTCTATCTCGAGCAGCATAAAGCAGCCATCGAGCAGCCAAGGAACGCCGCCGTGGTCTTTCCAACAGCTCGACGACTCGATGGGCAGCTGAAACTCATCGACAAGCGAGTTGCGTTTGATATAAATTAAGAAAACTTGGAGCCAAGATGAAGTGGTGGCGGAGCCATCGTGTGCGTTCCTCTCGGTGAAAGATGCGAGTAATTTGTCTCTGGCATGTCGTCTTGGTTCAAATCCGCCAGGCAATCGAGGAGCAGACGCAACGATTCTTTGTTTTGCTCGACGTGGCGTTTGATCTGCAGGATGGACTCTTCGATTTCGTCCACGACCGCGCGATCGTCGGGGTCGAGATCTTGCTTGAATCGTTTCCGAATGGTCGCGAGCCCTGCGAGATTGCCTCGCTGGAAGTCCAAGTGGCAATACTCCATTTCCATCGCGTCTGGTGGAAGCTGGCACTTGTGAAAGCCAAAGTAGTCAAGCTGGCGTTCAAACGTCGCGAGTTTCTGGTGGCCAAAGTAGTGTGGCATGACTTGCGTCGCAAAGCCCGCCGGGTCATAAATCACAAACGATTGTCCGTCGGGGGCCCAGCTCACAATTTTCGCTGGCGCTTCGTCGAGAAGGCTGTAGAGCCGTCGTATAAAGAGCGGCGCGACGGCGTCAAGTGTCATGTTGGAAGCTGCTGCTTGAATGGAACGTGGCGTGTCTTGAAGTGTTTCATGGATGAAAGTGACCAGAGGAATGATAGATCGATTTCCAACATGTCAAAATAAAAAAAAAAAAGATGCAAAAATAATATATAAATTGAAATTAGTTGAAAATCATACAATTTATTTGTGAAAATGTAAGCTGGCCAACCTCTCGACAGAATGGAGTTATTTGATCAAACCTTGTCGAATGTCCAACGAAAGGGCTTGCACCTTTGTCTCGTGGGAGCGAATCACCCCTTTTGATAAATAATCCTCGACGTGTCGCACCCAGGCCTCGATATTAAAATTCCACATTGTGCATACCAAGTGTCGGTGAAGATCGATCTATGTTTTTGTTGATTTAGCAAATACCACAGCAACGCCGCTGGATCCATTTGGCACGCCGACATTGCTTTGCATGCTTCTACACTTGCACAAAATCGTTGGACACCGGCGTATGCCAAGATGCAACGTTTGGACAGCCAGAATAGACGCGAGAGTGGCAAAAACGTGACGACATTGGAAAAACAGGAATATGGAAAAAAGATGCGCCGTCGGGGAATTGAACCCCGACCTTCTCCTTGGAAGGGAGAAATCCTAACCATTAGACTAACGGCGCTTTGTTATCACAGTATGGCCTTTTTTACATATATATTGTATATTCATAACTGGAATATGAGCAAAAATATGGCATTGAGCCCGACTGGATGTTAAGTCGTCTGCAGGGACTGTCGTACTTCGCAGTTGGAGTTCAAAAGGAATTGGAATAAGTGGAAGTTGCCTTCACCAATACCTTGGCTTTGCCACTCCTGTTGTCCAATCGATGCAAAGTTGGTTGGTTACAAAACTAGCCCAGCCCCCCCATCGCGATTACCATGGTGCACCACGCTGTATATGCAATGTTTATTGGTATAATTGCTTCAGCGTTCTCTTTTCTCAAGGTCGACGCCCCATGCCTGCCTCGTCTCGAAAGCGCAACGCGAATTCTCGGAACAGTGTGGTGAGCCCTTTGCTCCATCCAATTGTGATCACTATCGTGTGTTTTGGCTCAAGACCAGGTCATCAAGAGAGCCACAAATCGGGTAGCGATGCCGGGGACAATCCCATCCACTAATTCTCATTCCATGCAAACTTTGAACCCCTGAGCCATGACGGTCCAACGGATTAGCTGCGTGAAGTGGCTGTCAACCCGTTGCCTTCACCAACACGTGGAGCCATTCCTAAAAGATGCTAGGCAGTGTTAACACAGCTAGAGTCAGCAGTGTCGAGGATATTCGTCCACATTGCGATCTTTCTGCATCATGTTGTATTCACTTTGGGTTCATGTAGTGTAATGCGCTAACCGTCTAGGAGATCAGCTTCTTTCTCGTCAATCAAGACGTCGGCGTTTGTGATCATGTACTCGACGATTGATTGAAGTATCGACGATGTGGCAGCAGCTTCTGAAGCGTCTTCGTCGTGGTCGTTGGTTTTCTTGAAGAGATGTTCCGCGAACAATCGAGCGAGCGCTGCCGCTGTGAGCTTGTTTTTTGTTTCATACACAGTCACATCGTTCCAGTGGAAGACCAAGTAGGCAATCGTTTTGCTACAGAAATCACGATATGAGCTCATCCAGAATAGCCCTGGAGTAGCGCGACTTACAAGGATTTCGGTGGCAGTGCGGCCAAGAGCCCTTTCATATTGCGGCGCAAGTCAAACGGAGCGTGTTGCCCTTCTCGCATCACTCGGATGAAATCTTCGTGCATCTCCACGGGCACCAAGGGACCTTCTAGCTGTCGTAGCCAGAGTTTGACGACTCCAGCGGCACTTATGACATCCAAAACATCTTCGCATTCATTGCGAGTTGGTTTGCGCTGTTCAATTGCACACTGGTTGAGAAACGTTATGACAGACTACAAATCAAACCTTAGTCGCTTGACACTCAAGAAGGCGCTACCTTGAGCCGACTTGGCACGGCTTCTTGCTCGTAGAAGCTTGGAGTTTCAATGCCAGGCACGGACTCGAAGATGTACTCGATGGCAAGGACAATAGCTCGAGGGATGATGTCAGTGGGAAGGACAAAGACACTGCCAGGCTCGTCCGTCGTAGTCGTGATGACAGGCATGGAGTTGTGTCTTTGTCTGATGTTTTGCTGGACCAAAGCTTTCAAAGAGCCTAGCCAGGATAGAAATAAGTTGCACGCTCAGCAAGATGACAACCAGCACTGCTAGCACCACTGCCTCCTCTCGGCAGAGTTTCAGGGCGTGGACTGTTGACGCTTCGAGTTAAGAGGGAATCGAGCATACTGACCCAAGTCACAGTCGTTTGGGGTGAATCCGACACTAAACAGTACTCTCTGGAGGCTTTCGGCGTCGTTTTCTTCTTCTCTTCGTCGGACGAGAGGACGTTTTCGTCGTGGCTGGTCGTACGACATGTAATGTCAAAGCGGCATCCTACGGCAGTCTTGGAATTCCCGGTGCCAATCGCTGGGGTACCTTTGTATTTCGGATGGCTTGGCTTACTAATACGTTGAATAGATCGCAGACTAATGCAGCCGAGCTCTCCCAGGGGAATTGGACCCCATCCACTCTGGACAACGTCGCTAAAGTATCGCATCTCATTGCTCTTGGCGTACAACACAAAATATCTCGAATTCCATGTTTTGAGACCTCGAATACCCTAGGAAGAGGTTAAAATTGGCCTTCTCAAGCGACATACGCGACGCTGCTTTTGTCGAAGCCACCCTTCAAGCAGCACACCAGAACCTGGAGCTCCAGAAGCCGCACCACCCAATGCGCCACGACCAGGACTCAATGCGCTATTCAAAGGATTCGTCAGCAAAAGGAATAGCTGCGACTTACTCAAGACCACTTAGTTGCAGTGTATCGTCAAGTTCATCTTCTGGGGTTGGTGGCAATGCTTCAGACGATGCACGCATCATCATTCGCGACTGTCGCCGGGACATGGCTGCAGGTTGAGGTGTCGGTTCTATTGTTGGGAGTTCGCTTCTGTCAATTGAAGGTGGGGGCGTTGGTGCATCCATAGGTTGTTTCTTTCCCGACCGGAAAGGAGAAAGCGTTTTTGACTTCTGAAGAAACTTTTGAAAGCCAGATGAGGGTCGTGGTTGCTTGGATGTCGGATCCAGGTCAAGAGCTGCTGGCGGTGGGCTCTTTTGCATCGCTCGACTGGGGACAGCGGACGCGGATGCGCGTCGGTTCGCGGGGTGGTTATTCACCATCGTTGCTTGATTGCTTTGCAATACTGGTGTCAACGCGGTTTGATTGCTGGAAGGTTGGTCGCGTTCCTCATCCGAGTCGGAATACCATCGTCTGGAAGATGCTCGTCGAGGCGGTGCCGTAGATCCTGCCGGTGCGCCTGATGTAGTGGTTGTCGTGGGTTGAATCTTGAGCCTTTCCTCGTCCGAGAGATCTTCTACAGAGCCAAACGAATCACTCAATCGACCGGCCTTCGCCATCATCGTCCTCTCGTCCCAATCGGTCATTCCATGGATATGCTTCCGAAAAACATTATCCGGATCCGTATAAAGATCTTATTTTGGTGAGAAGAGTGACAGGAGACATTGAAGGCGCCGACGTCTCGTCCTCTCTGCCTATCGACGACATCAAGCCAAATTAATGCGATGGAGAGAGTGAAATGTTGATACTGCTACATTGAGCACTCGAATTAATGTGGCTTTTGCTGACAACTGTGATCGCACGGTGAGATTTCATCATCTCCTTCAACAAACGAGATCATTTCGTCGAGGAGGTAGATGGCCAGAGTCCGCAGCAGGTCTTGAGCTAGCGTATGTATGCATCAACTCGACTTTCTCAGCGAGTCACCAAAGCAAACGGTGATCAAATCTTCAGCTCAATTATATGGAATGAAACATTTGATGAAATAGTAAGTTCGCAGTCTCGGCTCGGGCTACACTGCACGGCTTCCAGAGGCAGCTTTTGCTTCCACCAAGAGGACTCTCATTTTGCCGCTCATGATATGATAATCCGTCGTGAATCGAGGAGCTCTCTGATGAATGGTCCGACTTCATGTTACCACGAAGACAGTTAAGCTCCGCCATCGGTGCAGTGAAGAGCAATATCCCGAACAGCACTAACCCTGTCCAGTGGATTCAAGCGCCCCTCTCTGAGAGATTCGACGATGGACAAGTTTCTATGTCAAACTCCATTACGTATTTGGGTTAGTTTTATGGATACAGAGCCAGCTCTACCTAATAATAATACACTCGCGCCCCCCTCCTATCATCTATGATATCTCCAGCTCTTCTCGTCCAACAGCAGACATCGCGTTTTACCACGCGCTGTTGTCGTAATTCGATTGACTTCCACTGCGGTAGCCGCCTCCGCTGCGGTCGCCATAGCCACGGCTTTCATATCCGCCCGACGAGCGGGGTGGTGGGCCACCACCACCACCTTCTTTTCGGAAATCGCGGGCACCGAATCGAGACGATCCACCACCACGTCCACCTCCTCGTCCACGACCGCCAGATCCACCACGGCCATATGATGGGGCAGCCAATTGTCCGAGCCATGGAGGGCATTCTTGGCCGTTTTCCACCAACAATTCGTGCAATTCACGCACGATGTTGCGGTTCTTGTCGTTGACCATCGAGAGAGCATTGCCCACATTACCCACCTAAACAAAAGTAAGCAATCAACACCACAGCGGCGATGATAAACGTACACGACCAGTACGACCAATGCGATGGACATAGTCGTCAATGTTGGATGGCAAATCGTAGTTGATGACTTGCGTGACGCCCGAGATATCGAGACCACGAGCGGCGACGTCAGTGGCAACCAAAACAGGCGTGCGGCCTGATCGGAATGACGCCAAGGCAGCTTCACGCTCTCGTTGCGATCGATCGCCGTGGATCGACGTCGCGGGGAAGCCTTCGTGGCACAGCAAGTCTTCCAAGTAGTCGGCAGCACGCTTGGTTTCAACAAAGACCAAGATCAAACCATCCTGCACTTGGTTCAAGAACCGAATGAGGTAGTCTTCCTTGTCTGGTTGGTCAACCCACACGACAGTTTGCTTGACATCCTTGGACGCGGCACCGACGCGACCAACGGTCAAAAAGATGTAATCGCGCAAGAAATCGGACGCCAAGCGCTGGATTTCGCGAGGGAACGTGGCGGAAAACATGAACGTTTGACGTTCGCGAGGCATATCTTCTTGTTCGACGATGCGGCGGATTTGAGGTTCAAAACCCATATCCAACATGCGATCGGCTTCGTCAAGAATGAGGAATTGCACACCTGCGAGCGAAACGCGGCCACGTTCCATAAGATCGACCAAACGACCAGGCGTAGCCACGAGCATATCCACACCGCGTTCCAAGTTGCGCAACTGTTGGCCGACTTCAGCACCACCGTAAATGACCACAGGCGCAATGCCCGTGCAGTAGCAAAATTTCTTGGCTTCGTCGTAAATTTGAGACGCCAATTCACGAGTTGGGGCCAAGATCAAAGCCGAAGGGAACACTTTGCGACGACGACCAGCACCTCCGTCTTCATCGATAGCTGGCGCAGGGCCGTTGCGAAGCATGGACGCCAAGGTGGGGAAAAGAAAGCCGCCGGTCTTACCCGAACCTGTTTGAGCACAAGCCATCATATCGCGACC